TGACGGGGATAAAACGACAGTTGAGCAAAGAAACGATTGTTCTCAGTGAGAACTTGTGCATGTGTGCGTGTATCCACTCCATCATTTGGATAATTTCACACCATGTGGTTGTTCCATTCGAACGGGGCAACCGTGAGCCCATCCCCAAAGTTCCATTCCAACAGATATGGACAATGTCTTTAAACAAGAAGTTTGGCATTATCGGAGGATCAAAGTTTTTTTAGGAGTTCGAAGATCAATGAAGGATGTATCGAACATTAGGGGAAGAAGTAAAGTCCCGTACAAGAATAACAATGCACATAGGCCCATGTATGTCTGTAAATTCACATGAAAATAACCAAAATCCCAATGAACCTTAATTATGAGCTTCATTTGAACAGAAACGATGAGCACAATGCGACCGCTATTCCAACACTGAAGAATTATAATAAATATGTACTGTTGCCATCGAATTTCACTATCTCTTGAGAAGTTCATAAAGTTTTTCGTACGTGCGTTGGTGATGGTGGTGGTGGTGATGGCCTACACTGAACTCTCGGACAATAACGGTGATGATTTTCCGGTCTCAAATAATCCAAAGTCACGTGACCGATTGATTAATTTTCACTGTCCCCCACCAGTTGAATTAGAAGAGTCAGTGCTCAATCGAACTCAATCAGGATAGACTAGGGTAATTGTGAGTTAAAGGCTCTGTCCCGGAGGCTTGTGTTCCAACAACCGCCATCGAGCATTCAAGTCACATTTCCGTTTGACCGCATGTATACCACCCATCCCAGCCCATCCGGAGGGAAGTCTGTGTCTGTGGGTGTGTCTAAATCGGTAAAAGACAATCTAAATAACATTGCGAATTTCAAGGTGAAGCACATCTGTCATTCGCTTTTTGCTTAGCAGGAATCGCCTAGTATTTATAGCATCTCAATAGTTGGATGAGAATTTTTAAATTTGGCACGAATGTCAAATTAAACTTGTACAACAGACATGCTTTGTTTATCCTTCTTACGTGTTTGGAACATTCGTTTGACCGTTTGAACAGTTTTCATATCACAGTAGTGCTATATTGAATTTTGGTGTTATATATTTCAAATCCATAGAAGAATGATAACTAAACTCTCGGCATGCTCCTTATTTTAAACTAAAAAGATGTGCATCATCTGTGAATTCGTGGCAAACAGCAGGTCTGCTACTTTTTTCGGACTGCATTTCGATTCGGTTTTGTAGCTCCGTAAATTGAACTCAGTGAAACTCCGTCGGATTGGTGATGTGGTGCACTGCTATTTCTACATCGTGGTTCTGCGTCTGCGCATATATGAGCATANCACTGTCATTAACTCAAAAAGGTCTCGGAGAGAGAAGAGGCGGGAGTGGGGTGGGGAGTGAGGGAAAAAGTGGCTTTGGAACACCTCAGTTTGTACAGGAAAGGTAAAAAGATTATCATATGCCAACCCAGCCAACCCACGCTTCTCTTTTTACAGACAGCAGTAGCAGCAGTAGAAGAAGAACCATCATAACAAAATGCTTTATGGCTTTATCGTAGTGCGTTCCGGTCTGAAAACTGAAGTCCACATCGTCTGTATACTCCCCTCCCCCTTGTCTGTCCCCCCCCTCCCCCCGTTCACCT